CTCGAAAGATAAGACATGAACCTTGGAGAGCAGTGAATTTATGTTAATGGGACAGGAACAACTTAGAAAAGGAGGGTGAGAATGGTTGCACAACTTGAAGAATGTAATCAATGTCACTGAATTGTACACGTAGAAACTGTTGAACTGGTATATGTTTTGCTGTGCATTCTCAACAATAACAACAAAATAAATAAAATTATATGGTAAAAAAAGACATTTGGAGACAACTGGAGGCATTTAAATATAGACTGGCTATTAAACAATAGAGCTATTATTGTTTCAAGAGTATGATAAAGGCACTGTGTTTATGTAACAGAATATATTTATTCTTAGGAGATCCATGCTGGAATATTTAAAGTGTCATAGTGTTTACAACTTTTAATGGTTCAGGATAAAAAACTACACATATCTACAGTAAAGTAAATGAAGTAAAATATTAACAATCAGTTCATCTAAGTATTGACTGTAACACTCTTTCAACTTCTGAAAGTTTGAAATTTTTTAAAATAAAAGGCTGGGGAGCAATAAAACAAATAATTTGGCTGGGATATGTACAGAAGGAGCACTGAAAATAAAAGGCTACTCCTTCCTAAGAGCCTGCAATAAACCTTGGCAACATATTCTGACCAACTAAGCCAAACAGTCCCCACTGTTACATTTTCTAAAAAGCTTAAGAGTGGAAAGGGCCACGTTTTTTCATATTTTGCCTCCAATATTATAATAATGTAATCAAGAAAGTGGTTTTGATAATTAAAAAGAAAAAAATGATAAAATGCTTAAGACCTTAGGGAAGACCTTAGCTGTCTAGTGAGCACTGTGGTTGAGTGTAAAAGCTCAGAATCAAACTGCTAGGTTCAAATCCTTCCAAGGCTTGTTAGCTGTGGTAGCCAATTTACTCAACCTCCCTAAACCTCAGTTTCCTTATCAAGAAACTGTGGACATTTGTATAAGGTTGTTGGAAGAATTAAGAGTTAAGCCATGAACTGTACTCAGAAATGCCTGGCGTACAGTTACAGCTCAGTAACTACTGGCTATTATTATCATTCGGTGCAATGTTGGACATGGAACCTATGAAAAACATCATCTCTGACCAAGGCACTTACAATCTATTTATTAAAACAAGATAAACACTTATAAAATAGCAGTAAACAATGTGAAACAGAAGGTGACTAAGAATTAAATTGTGTTACCCCTACAATTACAACAGACATGAGAGGGGAAAGAACAATACTATGCAAGGAGCCATTTAGGCCATGAAAGGCAGGGAGGATGTAGAAGTGAGGTGTTTTTCATCCACTGCTTTTAAAACTACTCAGTACAAGCCACCAAAGACTCAACATCTTTGTCCTTAATAGATCCCTGATAAAGACGGTATGTTTTTAATTCTTTTATTACTAAAGTAACAATGATGATGCTAATCTTTGAGAGCCATCAATATCCCAAAAACCCATTGCTATCAAGTTGAGTCCGACTCATGGCAGCCCTATAGGACAGGGCAGAACTGCCCCATAGGGTTTCCAAAGCTGTAAATCTTTAAGGAAGCAGACTGCCACATCTTTCTCCCGCAGAGCTGCTGGTGAGTTCAAACTGCTGACCTTCCAGTTAGCAGCCGAGTGCTTTAACCACTGCACCACCAGGGCTCCTTACTAATACCCTTTTGAGGAAGTATTATTACTATCCCCATTTTATAGACGAAAAGTCAAGGCCAGCATGATTAAGTAACTTGCCCACAGTCACACCTGTAGTAAACAGAGGCTTCACACACAGGCACTTGGCTCCACAGCACTGGCTCATAACAACTAAGTAAGCTCATTTCTCGCAGTCCCTAAGCATATAAAGTAAATAACAGCAAAACAAAACCAAAACCAAAACCCCCTTACTTCCCGCCTCCCCACTCCCACTCCCCAGAGTTAACAGTTTGGTGGGAGACTAAATAATGATACCAGTTTTTAACTCATTCTAATCTTCACTTCCAAGTGAATTACATAACCACAAGAAAACACTAATTCCTGCCAGATTTTTCTTCTGACCAATTTTTCTAGGTCCAAAAAAAAAAGATAAACTAAATCGATCAATGAGTAATTTTTTCTTAATTTCATTGAAGCTGTCCATCAACAGTTTTAAAGAGAAAAAAGTTGAAGATTATCAACTAAAGCATTAGGGCTTTTATTTATTTACCAACTTATTCATGGCAGGAGAGATAATAGAAAAGTTTATAGAATTCTTAACTCAAATATTAGAGAGTAAAAAAATAAATAAGGGGGGGAGGAATCATGTCACGCGTTTTAGATGAACAGCTTGAGTCTACAAATAACAGATCTGTTAAATATATAGTTTGAATAATTTACTGTAACAAATTCATAAGATGAACAATTCTCTTTGGTAGAACCTACATATTGTTAGATTTTACTTTGTAAAATTATATGCTCATTTTTCTGTACTTACACATCACCTTCTTCTCAATAGCAAAAACTTTGTATTTATTATACTACAAAATTCTTTATATTGATGTCATTATTCAGACCTTTAGAGACCAGACGTGATTCCAACATGTCATATAAATTACCTATTTCTGTTTTCAGACCCAGCTATCCCTTAAATACATTCCTAGGTTGCTTATTTTGTAAACCTAATCATGTGGCTTTCCTGATTAAAATCTTTTAATGGTGCCCCGCCTCAACACTGCCTAGAAAAAGTCCAAGCAGTTTACCAGACAGAGAATACACAAGGCCCTCCAAGCAAGGTCCCCATCTACCTCTCCAACCTCAAATCACTTTGAACTCTGGTAATGTCAATTCAGAAGCCCTGGTGGTGCAGTGGTTAAAGCGCTCGGTTGCTAACAGAAAGTACAGTGGTTCGAACCCACTAGCTACTCTGCAGAACAAAGATGTGGCAATGTGCTTCCTTCAAGATTTACAGCCTTGGAAACCCTATGGGGCAGTTCTACTCTGTCCTACAGGGTTGCTTTGAGTTGGAATTGACTCAGTGTCAGTGGGTTTTGTTGTTGTTTAATGTCAAATTACTGGGAATTACAGTACACACTGTGACTTCATACCTTTGTACCTTTCTTATGTTATCTCCTATGCCAAATGTGAAAGGAGCCCTGATGGTGCAATGGTTAGAGCTCAGCTGCTAACTGAAAGGTTGACAATTCAAGCCCACCCTAGTGGCTCCTCAGGAGAAAGACCTGGCGATTTGTTCCCGTAAAGATTAGAAAACCCTATGTGCAACACAGAGCCCTGGTGGTGCAGTGGTTAAGAGCTCAGCTGCTAACCAAAAGATGGGCAGTTCGAATCCTCCAGACACTTCTTGGAAACTCTCTGGGGCAGTTCTACTCTGTCCTATAGGGCCACTGTGAGTCGGAATTGACTCAACAGCAACAGGTTTGGTTTGGTTTGGATGTGCAACACAAAATTAATAGCTTATAGTCAAAGGATCACTATGATGGTATGACCAGATTAAAATATGAATAGAAAGCAGCACCAGAAAGGAGTCTCTTTTAAAACACTGGCATAAGGGGATTTTATCATTCTTATAAGTTAAGCATGTTTTCTCAAGTTTTTACTTTATAGAGGCTCTGGTTTCACTATAGCAAACCCATATACAGAAAATAATGGACCATATTCTTTCCAAAACCTAGAAAACCCTATGGGGCAGTTCTACTCCGTCATATAGGGTCATCTATAAGTCGGAACTGACTCGGCAGCACCTAATAACAATATGACAACTGTGCCCTTTTGTACTTTTTGTTTTTGGGGTTTTTTTTTTGACTCTTAACCATCTTTTGTGCTCAGAAAATCACTTCCAAGGAGCGGTCACTTAAGCTCTAAGCTAGTCTGAGTAACGTTCCTCTGTGTTCCTAAGACACCCTATGTACGTCTCTATCTTAGAATTAATCATAAAACAATTTGTTTTTCTGAGTTTTCTTAAGAGCAGGAAGAAATTTACTCCTTTATACAATCTTAGCACTCAAAGCTACCCCTCAGGAGGGGCTTGGTAAATCTTTTAAACTGAATTGTGTAAACTTAAAGGAGTTATCACATATAAATGAAATGCTTTAAAGAGCTGTTGAAGATCTTCCCATGGAGACTCAGGGAATATAAAAGCAGTTAGTCTCCTCAGGTAGCACCCTTGGCAAAATGTGACTGACAACTAGCCATTACTGGGATTCTCCTTAGTTCTGAGCTAGACTTCCCAGCAACATTTAAAGCTCCAAGAGATTGGCATGAAGTCAAATGAACTTCTGCGGAGGGTCTATTAACCCAACTAAAGACCAAAATGTATCAAAAACACCTACCTAAATATATTTTAAAACTTTATTAATACTGTAGAACTGAAGTTCAGAACGTGGAAGCTCTCAAAATACAATCTTCATAGTCATAGTGAACTGAATCGACATGAACATCAATCTTTTATTTTCCAAAGCTATTCTGGTAAACAAAATCAACCATACTGAGAAACAACGCATACTGTATACTTCCACATCAGAATTTTACAGCTAGAGAAAAATAGTGAAATATAACATGATTTCCAGAGCACAGAGGAAGAGAGAGGGTGGTCTTCCTTTACTCCAGGATAAACAAGGGAACCAGATGTTTCTTTATGTGAACTGTTGCAAGGAGCATTTCTCAAGGTTTATGATAAATCCAGTCTGAATGTGTTTCCATAGTAACAGGAATAGAGTGCACACAGACAGTCTACAGTAATGAACCAACCATGCCGGCTACTTGAAAACCTGGCGTTTTTATTGTTTGACAATTTCTATAGCAAGAACATTAAAAAAATTTTTTTTCAAAAAGACACAAGATGACAACAAATTAGAGGGTCATTTTGTTTTAAAGCAAAAAACCAAAAAACAGTACATAAAGCAAGCTTAAGTATGGATTCTTTGAGGTGTAATAAGAGAAAGCTATTAAATATATTCATAAACTGATTTGTAACATGTAATATTTGAAAATCAAATCCTGTATTTGAGATCAATTTAATATATATACACATACCTCCCTCAAAAACCTCTTCAGAATATGACTCATACTTAATGATCAAATGTAACGATCTCTGGGTGACAGGATCAAGGGAGATTTTCATTTTACTTCTTTTTTTCCAAATCTACACCAAAAAGAAAATGTGGGAGGGTGGGGGGAAGTTAATTTTTGAAAGAATACAGTCCATTATTTTCTGTATATGGGTTTGCTAGAGTGAAACCAGAGCCTTCATAAAGTAAAATCTTGAGAAAACATGCTTAACCTATAAGAATACTAAAATCCCCTTATGCGAGGGTTTTAAAAGAGACTGTTCTTTCTGATGCTACTATCTATTCATATTTAAATCTAAAATCATATCATCAGAATGATCCTTTGACTATAAACTATTAATTTTGTATTGGACATTCTGGCTTTCATGATTTAAAAATTACTTAATTTTTAGTAATATAATAATAAAATGATTAAAATGACAGAGGCATATTATCTCGTTTTGTTAAACCTATTTTAAAACTGTAAGCTACTCATCCTTTTTGGAAGTAAGCAAGAGATAAATATTTTTTTATAAATCAGCAAATAAAATCAGCAAAAAAAAAAAAAAAAAGAGAGAGACCAGTGGTGGTTCAGTAATAGCATTCTTGCCTTCTATGAGGGAGACCCAGGTTCAACGCCAACCAATGCACCTTACGGGCAGCAACCACCTGTCTATCAGTAGAAGCTCGCATGTTGCTATGACACTGAACAGGTTTCAGTGGAGCTTCCAGACTAAGACGGACTAGGAAGAAAGGACTGGCGACCTATTTCCAAATATCAGCCAATGAAAACCCTATGGATCACAATGGTCTAATCTACAACCAATCACGGGGATGGCAAAGGACCAGGCAGCATTCTGTTCTGTTGTGCCATGAGTTGAGGCAATTTGACGGCAGCTAACAACAACCCTCTAAATAAGAAGCAAAGCACACTAAAAATTAGTAATACTCTTTCTCTGAAAACCATTTTAACTTCACAAATGATACTAAACAAAACAAACAACAACAAAAAGCAGGGGAGTGAGGAGAGGTGGTGGCAGAAAAAAAGAAGAAGAAAACCAACCACCTGGTTCTAAGAACCTGACCACACCTCTATAGCATCAAAAAGGAAATAAGCAACAATGTTTACCTTTTATTCACTAAAAGCAGCTAGAATCGCTATGAGTCAGAATCGACTAGACAGCAACTGGTTTGGTTTTTTTTTTTTTTTTTTAAATCTAACAGGCTGCCCTTCATATAAACAAAAAACAATAACTGAATTTGGTACAGTGACTGCACAACTCAATGTCAATCTTTCACACAAAATGGATCCTGCTTGAAAATTTTTCTCAAGGAAATACAAACAAAATTACAAATGGAAATGGTTATTCCATTTGTGTTTAGATTCTCTTGTTCCCTCCATATCAAATTATAAAATTTACTATTTTATTCACAAAAATAAAGTACTTTTAAATAGCACTCAAGTGTTATACACTTACTAGTTACATATATACATAAAAGTTTTAACCACAGTACAGACGCAAATTATTTCTGGCTGAAGTTTGGGTGTTTTGTTTAAATTCCCAAGGTAATGCGAACACTTGGACTTCTCAGACTTTAAGGTCATTATATAACATTTAATTCCATAAAACCAGTTAAAAAAAAAAAAACTAGTTGCTGTCGCTTTGACTCCAACTCATGGTGATGCCATGTTTGTCAGAGTAGAACGGTGAGTCATAGAGTTTTCAATGGCTGATTTTTTGGAAGTAGATCACCAGGCCTTTCTTCCAAGGCATTTCTGGGTGGACTTAAACCTCCAGCCTTTTGGTTAGCAGCCAAGCACACTAACCATTTATGTGACCAGGGACCCCATTAACTCTGTAGGTACCTAATAAATTTTTAGCTTTCCTATGACTTATTTTTAAATTAAAAACTTCAGGCTGTCAAAATTATGACATTTGAAAAGACTGCTAGTCAAAATTCTAAATCATTTGAAGAGCTTTACTACCATTCTGGTTGAGGCTAACTCTCTGAAAGTTTAAGGCTATGATTTAGGGGAAAACATCTTCTCTTCTGCACCATGTTTTCAGGCATTATACTAATAAAACACCAACTCTCCAAATGACACAAAGGGCTTACAGAATTTTAGTATGTAAAATAAATGTTCTATATTAGTTAACCTTATCTGGGTATCTTGACTGAAAGGTACTTTCCGAGGTAGCCTTTTAAAGAGAACTCTAGACTGCTGACTAATTTCTGGGTTAAACTGGAAAATCTACACACTTTAAAAAAATGAACAATTCAGGACAGAATATATTCCTTTATACTTTCACATGATTTTATTCACTTATCGACCAAGATACAAAGCAAATCATGTCACTTTTATACAATTACTGACAACGTGTATGTCAATCAAAGTAATCTTGCTCCATGTATATATAAATAAACAAGAAAAATAAACAGAGGTTACCCTTCTAGAACAGGACTTGCCATATGACATTTATCTATTAAGCAAGTAAGCAAAAGAGTAAAATTGGTGGCTTTTCAATAAATGAGGGAGAAATAAAATGTGAATTTGGTACTTGAACAATAAAAACAAAACAAATGCTGGTGATATTCTCTTCTTCCTCCCACTAAGGTACAGTTTTTGTTTTTTGGTGGTTTTTTTTTTTGGTCTTCTTAAAGACACAATATTCCTACAGAATGTCCTTCTAATCTATTATTTTTATTCAATTTAGATAACAATGTTCTCACAAAGGCCACATAGTATATGATTCCATTTACATGAAACATCCAGAATAGGCAAATCCAGAGCGATATAAAGAAGATCAGTGGTTGCCAAGGGCTAGGGGGAGAAAGGAATGGACAATGACTACTAATGGTTGCAAGCCTTCTTTTTGGAGTGATGAACCTTTCACCCATTGTTGTCCAGTTGATTCCAACTCATAGAGACCCTATAGGACAGAGTAGAACTGCCCCATAGGGTTTCTAAGGCTATAATCTTTACAGAAGTAGATTGCCACATTTTTCTCCCAGGGAGTAGCTGGTAGGTTCAGGCCACTGACTTTTTGGTTAGTAGCCGAGCACTTAACTGCACCACTGGGCTCCTTGAAGTGATAAAATGTTCTGGAATTAAATAGTAGTGATGGTTGTACAATCTTGTGAATATACTAAAAACCACTAAATTGTACATTTTAAAAGGGTTAGTTTCATGGTATGTGAATTCTATCTCAATAAAAAAAAGAATGCTCTAAAAGAAATCAAGCAAGCATTTATCTATGCTTCTCAACAATAAAGCCCATAATATCTATTCAAACCCACTGCCGACTCAGCAACCCTATAGGACAGCATAGAACTGCCCCACAGAGCTTCCAAGGAGTGACTGGTGGCTTTGAACTACAGACCTACTGGTCTGCAGCCGAACACTTAACCACTGCACCACCAGGGGTCTAAGTAATTACAAGGTGAGGCACTGGCAAAGGGACAGACAATGAAATAGAATGAGAGTCTACACACAGACCCCAGCCTACACTATCTGGGAACTTGGCATGTAACAGAAGCAGCACTGCAGATCAGTGAGGAAAAAAAGAATAGAGGAATCAATGAATGGTACTGGGACAACTGCTTATCCATAGGCAGTTAGATCCTCACTATACAGTTAACCAATCCTAGGTGGAGTAAAGACCAAATATAAAAAGAAAAATTTTAAAACTTTTGGGAAAAAAACAAAAAAAGGAGGGGATCTTTAGGAACTCAGTGTGAGGAAGTATTTCTTAAACAACACACAAAGTACAAAACATAAAGGAAATGATTGATAAAATTAACAATATTAATTTAAAAAGCCATATGCCAAAAGACAGCATAAACAAGTGAAAAGACACGCCCCAAGACTGGGGCAAGATAACTGAAGTACATAAAGCAAAGCTGGGTGCTACCCTCCAACTTTCTTCCAAATCTGCCCAGTTCTTGCTAAGTTAAGTGGCTTTGCCATATCATTTCTCATGTGGATTTCAGGAACAGCTTTCTAACTGTTCTTCCTGCTTCTAATCTTGTTTACCTCCAATCCACAATCTACAGCACTGACAGTACTTAAAAACAAAACCAAAAATCCCTCAAATTTAATAACCTCCCATGGCTCCCTAATGTCTTAGGATAAAATCCAAAAAGCAGGCTCTTCATGATTTGGCCCCTGACTACTTCTCCAGCCTTCTCTCCTGCTGCTTCCAGTTTCCCACCTGGCCGTCCACCATTCTAGCATTTCCTCTCTTAACTTCCTCTTGGCCTTTAAGATCCTATTTACCTTGAAAACATCATGCTGAGTGAAATACGTCAGTCACAAAAAGACAAATATTATATGATCTCACTTATATGAAATAAGCAAATATATAGAAACCAAAGATTATTAGTACTTACTACAGGTGGAAGGGAGGGGAGAAGGGGACATTTTTGCTTAGGGGGCACTGAGTTTATGTTAATACTGACAGAATGATTTGGAAAAGGTTAGTGAGAATAGATGCACAACTTGAAGAATGTAATCAATGTCCCTGAATTGTACATGTAGAAACTGGTGAGGTGGCAAATGTTTTGTTATGTATATTTTCATCACAATAAATTTTTAAAAGGTTTCTATTCAGATGTGTTAAAATATAAAATACTCCAAAAAGTTTTTCCAGACCTCCCTTCACACACCTTCTGAAGCTGGGCCAAGTAACCCCTTCTGCTGGCATAGCATCCTACCTATACTTCTACCACAGCTCTTAATACATTGTATAGGGCCATCTTGACATAAGGAAGGATGTGGGTATACATTTGTAGGGATATGTGTATGTGTATGGATGGATGGATATGTGTCTGTGTGTTTAAGTGAACATGATCTCAAAACATTTGTGTAAGAAATAATAGTAAAATACTTCATTACATCGACTCTGGATACCAGCTGCTGTCTGTTAATTGCCCTCTGTAGGCTGAGACAAGGTTGGGCCGAGGTTCACGCCAACTCTTCCTTCCTTCCCATTCTGCTGCTGCTACAATGGGAAGGAGACCAAAAGTTACAGCCAGGTCATCCCTATCCCAACCCAGACAAGCTTCTCTGATAAACAAATATTTATTGAGCACCTAATCTACCAGCTGCTCCTTGGAAACCCTACGGGGCAGTTCTACCGTGTCCTATAGGGTCGTTATGAGTCGGAATCCACTTGACAACGGGCTTGGGCTTGGGGGCTGAAGTTACAGGATGAAAACTCAGACCAGATCCCTGCAATGTGAGCATACATTATTACTGGAGAGAAAGTCAATAAATGGAAAGTGCTGGAGATGAGGTTCAGAAATGTGCTTGATAAGATTCATTTATTCATCTCATTCTGAGTGCTATGGTTATCTCAACTCCTAGGTATTAGAGATAAAAAAGGTGATCAAGACAGAGTCCCTGCTGACAGAAAGGGACAAGTACCCTGGATGACAAAGGAAAACATACAGGGTTGAGAGCTAGGGGATGCAGGAACAGGAAGAGGATACAGCAACATCTCAGCTATTTCCAAGCTTAGAAAACAAGTCCTAACCTATGTTGTTACTGCGGTGTACCGAGTCAATTCCGACTCACAGTGGCCACCTACAGTGGAAGCAAAAGAAGCTCCTTCCCAAAGACCTAGAGTAAACCAGTACCCAAAGGAACTTCAGTTAAGAACATTTTTAGCTTCTTAATATCACAACTTTCATACGATCTAGATTATTGGAAGGGCACTTCTTGATATATTGCGAAACCAATTATAAGCATTTAATGAAAGCACACTACATTCACTAATTCGGGGAAATAAAAACAGCTTAGCTGCCGGAGAATGGAAAGACCGGAAGTTTATGTTGAGAAATGGGATGAGTTCATCTCTGTATCCACAGTGCCTGGTATATCATCAATAAGCAAATCAATCTTAAACAGAAAGGAACATTACAGTAAGGCACCACACGATTAGATTAACAATTTAAATATATGTTAATATAATCAAATAACTAATATTGAAAAGTCACATGCTGTTTGTTAGCAATGGCATTTAGAACTGACTACAGATTTGCCTTTTCCTTCCTAACAAAGAGCTCACGGACAAGGATTAGAAAATATCTGCAGTGTGATTATTTACACATCCAACACAAAACCAAACCAGCAGCACGCAGTCAGGTCACTAGCAGGAAAACAAAACAAAATGACATTTGCCCCAACTTTTTCAAAAGTTCAGCAAGTGATTTTTTTTTTTTATTATTACTTTAGCAAGTACTCTTTTCATCAGAGAAAAAAAAAATTAGAAGAATAGAAGACATTTTATCCAGGGCTGGAAATACAGAGTATAAACACATCACCCAAAAGAGTCACAGGCTGACTACAAGAAATTTTTTCCAGGAAACTTTAAACATTTACATAACCATGTTTAATATGAAGCTTATTACCATGAATTTAATAATAATTCTACACGCATACATAAACTATTGACAACATATCATGATTCATATTTTCCAAAACAGTGGGGATATTATGAAATGAAGCTCTGTCTTTTGTTTCGGTGTATAAAACCTACAGTCACTACTAATGGGGTTAAAGAGAAACTGTCACAACAATCTCACTGTCGAACATAACACAAGATAAGAAGAATCTGGAACTCTAATAAAATGACTTCCTTTTTTGTATCATTCATAGACTAATAAAAAACCCATGCTAAACACAAAACCAATTTACATTAGAATGTTATTCTGTATCTGTGGCATCACTAAGTAACTTTAAGAAAAAAACAAAAGGAAATCAGTTGTTTTTTTTACTCATTTTTCATTTCCAACCAAATAATGAAGGCATAAGAAAATGTGTTGTGTCTGTCAAAAGCCACCTCATGGTACTATCTTTTACAGGACCTCAACTTCATCATCTAAAATCATGCAGATATTTCAATGTGAAACCTGTTTTGGAAATCCCATCAAACTGTTCTGTCATACCAATCTCTAAAATAACTAACATTTCTCAAAAGCCAAAATGAGTTACCAAAATCAAACTTGGTCTTTTGTATCCGGACTTTATGTAACCCACTTATCAAGAGGTAAGTGATCCATAATTCAAATAGAAGACTGAGAATTGGACTAAGCACGTAATACATTTGTCAATGAGTTCATTCCCTAGAATACATTTCTCAACCTCAGCACCACTAAGGTTTTGGGTCAGATAATTCTTTGTTGTGGGAGGGCTGTCCTATGCACTGTAGGATGTTTAGCAGCATCCCTGGCCTCTACCCATTAGATGCCAGTAACACCACTCGTCCGTTGTGACAGTCTTTAGATACTGCCAAATGTCCCCTGGAAGGCAAAACTGCTCCAGGTTGAGAAGGGCTGCCCTAGAACGATGTTCATTAAAAATGTAAATGATTACTATCTTCAACGGAATTACGGGTAATTTCTGTTGTCTCATTTTTGCTTTGCATTTTGCTTCTCTGTAGATTCTATAATGCACTTGTAATTTTTTAAAAAAATTTTTCTCTAAAAGAATACAAGCAATTCATTAATTATAAACTAAGGAAATACTCATTCAGCTTGTACCTTGTTTTTATTGACTAATGCGCACGTTTTCCCGAGTATTCAAAATGTTAAACAACAAAAAAACTGTAACAACTCAGAATAGATGCAGATTTTAGTCTGTATGTATAGATTTAATCTGCATATGTCTCTGAAATTTCAAATGAAAAACACTTTAAAAATGTTTCAAGTAAAGTGGTCTCATTTCTTAAGCACTTTCGATGTGGTGTTCCAAGTGCTTCACAAGTATTACCTCATTCAATCCTCAGATAAACCCTAAGAGGTGGGTTACTAGTATCTCTATTTTATAGATCAGGAAAAACAGATGACTTGTCACACATATAATAGGTGTCAGAGCCAAGATTCAAACTCAGGCAGTCCTGCTTTATGACCTTTACCACATGCTATACAGTCACTGACCACTGAACCACTTTTATATCATTTCTATTAATTCAGAAAGAGCAATTCTTACTGCTTCAGAAAACATCCCTATTACTAAAAATAAGCCAGCATCTTCAATTTGTATAGAGGCTGTAGTAGACAGAATAATGGCCCCCCAAAGATGTGTCCACCCTAATACCCAGAACCTGTGAATGTTATTTTATATACCAAAAAGGAGACCTGGTGGCACAGTGGTTAAGCACTCAGCTGCTAATGGAACGGCTGGCAGTTGGAACCCACCAGCAGCTCCACAGGAGAAAGATGCGGCAGTCTGCTTCCATAAAGATTACAGCCTCGGAAACCCTATGGGGCAGTTCTACTCTGTCCTACAGGGTTACTATTAGTCAGAATAGACTCGATGGCAATGGGTTTGTTTTTTGGTTTTTACATAGCAAAGGGAACTTAGCAGATGTGATTAAAGATCTTGAGATAGAAAAATTATCCTGGATTATCTGGGTGAATCCAATATAATCTCAAGGGTCCTTGTAAGTGAAAAGAGGAGGCAGGAGGGTCAGAGTGAGAGAGATCTGAAGATGCTATGCTGCTGGCTTTGACGATGGAAGAAGGGGATTGTGAGCCAAGGAATGTGGATAGCCTCTAGAAGCTGGAAAAGGCAAGGAAACATATTCTCCCCTAGAGACTCCAAAAGGAACACAGCCCTGCCGAATCTTGATTTTAGCCCAGTGAGACCCGTGAGACCCATGTAAGACTTCTGATCTCTAACTGCAAAAGAATAAATTTATGTTTTTTAAGCTACTAAGTTTGTGGTAATTTGTTGCATCAGCAACAGGAACCGAATACGAAGGCTTCTCTGAAACCATTTCCAAATACTCACTTTGTCTTCTTCAGTTTCACTAACATCACTATAAAGCGCGTTAACAGGGCAGAGGGGAATTCCCTTAGATTTGTTAACCTAAGATTTGGGGAACCTAAAAGAATAGGAGACTGGGTCGCACAGTGGCTAACCGAAAGGTCGGTGATTTGAACCCACCAGCTGCTCCACGGGAGAAACATGTGCGGTCCGCTTCCGTAAAGATTTATAGCCTTGGAAACCCCATGGGCAATTCTACTCTGTCCTATAGGATCACTATGAGTCGGAATCCACTCGACGGCAGTGGGGTTAAAATAGAAATGATTTCTTAAAAAAGAAGTCTCACTCAATTCTCATAAATAATCCTATCTATGAACATAAACATGCTAATATGATCTATAATTTCTCCCTGGACGGCCAAGAAAAGCCATTGGATTTTAACTGCTGAGGGGGTGTTGCTGTCACCTTTTACATGTGAAGAAGAAATGTAAACGATTTCCTCCTGTTGTTGTGGCACAGTCTCTGCTGCTTTCTGTGCTCTGGAGTTTACTTCCATTCTAGTTAGAGCTGATGCAAACAATGAAATGGCCGTAACTGTTATCATGCCTGACACAATACAGTAATGTTATGGGTCTTTGATTACTAAGATGCTTACCGTATTTAAGAATTTTAATTTCTGACTACCAAAATCTCCAGGCCACAATGGATTTTGTGGATGATTTTTGCAAAAATATGTACAGAAAAAGAAAACTTGCAGTAGTAAAGACAGCACTATATTAATCAATTTTTAAAATCTGTTAATTTAAATATATAATTAAAAAAAACAAAAACAAACCCATTGCTGTTGAGTCAATTCTGACTCACGGCAACCCTACAGAACAGAGCAGAACTGACCCATACGGTTTCCAAGGAACGCCTGGTGGATTCAAACTGCCAATCTTTTGGTTAGCAGCTGAGCTCTTAACCACTGTGCTACCAGGGATATAAGTCACAGTTAAAAAGGAAAAAAAAAAAAGCTTCTCAAAGAATTATATTAAACCAGTTTTTCTAATGAATAACCTCTAAGTGGACATTTATTTTGTAAAGGTAAATAACGTATGTTGTTAGTTGCCATCGGGTCAATTCCAACTCATGGTAACCACAAGTGTGCACGGTAGAACTGCTCCATAAGATTTTCAAGGCTGTGACCTTTCAGAAGTAGATTATAAGGCCTGTGTTCCAAGGTGCCTCCGAGTGGGTTTGAACCACCAACCTTTTGGCTAGTAATCAAGTGACTATTTGTACCAACCATTTGTACCACCCAGGGACTCTTGATATGGCTCATGATGAACACCAATTATGTACCAGACCCTATTCTAAACCTGTCGCCTTTAAGTCAATTCTGACTTCGAGCGACCCTATAGGATAGAACAGAACTGCCCCATAGGGTTTCCAAGGAGCAGCTAGTGGATTTGAACTGCCGACCTTTTGGTTAGCAGCCAAGCTCTTAACCACTGTGCCACCA